AAATAATTTAAAAAACGACAAATCACAGTTACTAAATAAATGACAGCCGCGTGGAAATAAATTGAAATTTTGTTGAAATAGGTGAACGCGTCGGGTTACGACGAGGGCAAGTGCGTTAAAAGCGGCGTTTAATTGGATAACAAAAATAATCGAGATCGACACACATACAGATAAATTCAGAGTGGATTCGAGTTAGCGTGATCCATGGCGTGATTGTCATACTTATAACATCATATTAAAACTTTATTTGGTGGAAACACATTGACCAAGCCCGGATTCTTATTTCAGAAATTATTACGCAGATCAAGCTGCAATCATGGAGGTAAAAAAAGAACAGAGGTGTGAATTCGACATTCAACACAAACCACCAAACAATTCAGAAACTTTTAGCCTTCGAAAATGAAAAAAACAATTAGCAGTCTGTAAGGGCTGTGTAATTTCCTGTTTGTCCGACGCTTTGTTTTTGTGTCACTGTCAAAATTATTGCTACCTTTTACCATGGAACTATAAACCCCAGGAAGAACAACGAAACTAAGAGGATTAAAAAAACCTTTGTCTTAGTTTATCTTACAGTGCTTTCGCTTTTGTTTCCACGACATTAGTCATACTCCATGTTAGTTGCCGCCGATACGCCCGTTTCAACCGCTTTGCTGGAAACGGAAAACTTGAAAAAAAAATTTCATATTTGCGCAGTAAAATATTTCGTTCACTATGCATGCGCAAACAAGTCGGTCTGCAGGATGACCTTCAGTGTACCGGAAATCATGCAACGGGTCGGAGTTTTAGCGAGTTTTCATAATTTTTAATGTCGTTTTTAGATTACTTCTTGTTTTTTTCAACCCTCGAAAAAATAAGGTTGCGAAAGTTTGCGAAACATGGGGTTTGGTGAGCTGTTTGTTGTTGAGATATCCCGACTAATTCCGTTTTTCCCTTCGATCGCCAGAAGTGGCAATGTGTTTTTTTTTCCCGTTGAATGTCGATCATTTATCAGTGTTTTTGTCTTGGCGCCATTGTTTTTTTATGCTATAACCGAAACAACTCGGTCACGTGATCTCCCAGAGTCGTCCGATTGACTCCGAAAATGACCGATAGTCGGAGATAAACGTTCATTTGCGTAAATCGGCTTA